CGCGAAAACCCTAGTACACAATTTTTCAGATTATTTGAGAAAATCTTGTCAGAGGGCATACTTCACGATGGTTCCACATGCTGGAAATTCTTACCGTAATCCTACAGTAACGAAGAGCGAACGGTGATTCGCTCCATACTTTAAATCTAAGTTGAACCTCGCTCTATAATGAAATCAAGGGAGTTATTAACGATCAAACAGTGTTAACATTTTTTTGGGACACCCTGTATATATATATATATATATATATATATATATATATATACAGGGTGTCCCAAAAAAATGTGCCTACTGTTTGTTTGTAAATAACTCTCTTATAATGATGTATTTCGAGGAGCTTCAGGTACCGTTTTGTAGAGCGAGGTTGAACTTAGATTTACAGTATGGAGCGAATCATCGGGAGGCGGCCCTTTTGAACCCACAGTACGCTACAGTAATTCAAATCCTGAGACGCGTACGCTCGCGCTGCGTTTAACGCGGACGAGTCGTTCCCTAATTTCGAAAGTCGCTCAATTTGCATTAGCGGCGCACACCTGGAATCAACGAACTAGTCTTACTGATGTCGCTGTACTCCCGCATCTGGTATTCTGATGCGCAGTCTAGCGCCCACTGGTCGTTAACTACTTCATTTCTAATTATTCTTGAATTGGTAAGTTGCATGTTATCAGACAGCAGTGGAGCACTGTAACCGATTCGTTATACCTTGTTCTTGTCTTTTTTTATTCGAAAACTGATTAGATTTGAAAAAGTAAGACTTTCGATTGTTTTAATGACCAAACAAAAGCTTACTCCATTCATTATCTGTGTGTGCAAAGAATCTCTTTTTGCATCCTTTAGAAATGTTGTTTTCTGAACATGCTTGTTTTGGGAAGAATAGTAAACTCGTCATCTTTCATTTCTACTTTTCCATCATTTTGTTCTGAAACATCTATATTTCTTTGATAATCGAACCTGGGCTCGAAACAGAATTTCATTTGCACGAAATTTTGTTGCTGACTGTCGATCGGGTTGCAGTGTTCTTGTTGCTAAAGTACTCGGCTGATGCTCGTAAAGACAGTTTTCGAATTGTCTGCTTTGAATATCTTATTGCATGAAGATCTAGGCCTTTACGCAGGTTGTCATGAATTACTGGAGGCATGAACCCTGTTTAAAGAGCTAGACGATCTAGTTTTTTTTGAGATGTTTCTGACTGTGTTGTTTTCGTGAGGTAAGACTGAAATGCTGCAGGTCTTTTCGTGATCCGGAATTTGTGACTGAGTAAGCACAGGCGGAGGTTGTGAAAATTGTCACCTTGTTTGAGTTCTTTAGCTTGCCAGTTGAAGTTGTTAAAATCACTACATTAAATACGCAAGATCTCCAAGCTTGTGTTCTTGGATTCTATGACTAGACGCCGAATTGTAGAAGAGGAAAGTAAGCAGGACGTGCGCGAAATAAAACAAACCAATTATTTTGTCAATGATTGCTCAATTTTCAAGCAACAATGAATGACCAGACTAACGTCAACGCTAGCTGACAAGTTCGGTTACTATTCATGACTCTTGGCATCTCATTGATGTTTACTTGGTTCTAGATGCCCCTGCCCTCTTGTGGCGTATTTCGAAGTGCATAAGTTGTAGGTGCACGCAGTACGCCAGCGACGAAACTCGTCCGAAACTGCGACGCGTCCTGACAGGTCACCGCTCGCTTACGCGGAGCGCCCAATCACAGCTCGACCTTTGCAGCTAGGTGACCTATCACTGTCGTCGCGATTGGAGCGGGCATAGAAGGGCCTACACCCCGAATCATCTATCGCCCCTCGTTACTATAGAATTACGGTACGAACTTCGACAAGAAATTTGGGCCATTGGACGCCATATTTTGCCTCGGAACAAAACCAAACAAGCCAAAAACTCATATACTACAGTAATGAGAGCCGCTGATTTCGAATTTGAAATTTCCATTTTGATGTGATGCTTCTTTTTTAAGTTATCCCCGGTAAATCTAGTAGCTCAATTCCCAGCATTTGTCAGAAATGTAATTACACCGTCAAAAAAGCTGAAAACACTCGTAAAAAGTCGTTAGGTGGAATCGGCATGCGCGAAAACCCTAGTACACGATTTTTTAGATTTTTTGAAAAAAATTTTGTTAGGCGGTATACCTCACAATTTTTCCATATGCTGGAAGTTCGTACCGTAATCCTACAGTAATGAGGAGCGATAGATGGTTCGCTCCATACTGTAAATCTAAGTTCAACCTCGCTCTACAAAATAATACCTAAAGCGTCTCGAAACACTTCATTGCAAGAGAGTTATTTACAATCAAACAGTAGGCACATTTTTTGGGACACCCTGTATATATACAGGGTGTCCCAAAATAATGTGCACACTGTTTGATTTTGAATAACTCTCTTACTATGAGGTCTTTCGAGAAGCGGTAAAAACCATTTTGTAGAGCTGGCTTCAACTTAGATTTGCAGTATAGAGCGAATCACCGACCGCTCTTCATTACTGTAGGATTACGGTAGAAACTTGAAAGAGGGTTTTGGGCCATGAAAGGCCATATTTTGCCTCAGAAAGGAATTGGAACAGCCTGAAAACTTTTACGCTAGGCCAATTAGAGTTGCTGATTCTAACAGTAAGATTTCCAACTTATTTTGATGCTTCACTGGAGAGTTATGCAAGGTAAGCCGTAGCGGCCGTTTTCTCAATGTTCCTAAAAAGTGCGGTTACACCATTTAGAAAGCTTCGCAATCTTGAGCATAGTTGAGTATTGAAGTCAGCGTCCCTAAAAACCCTATTACACAAGTTTTCACATCTTTTTGAAAATTTTTGAAACGGCAGCTTTTTCCACAGTGACACCATGTGTTCCAAGTTTCTACCGTAATCCTACAGTAATGAAGGGCGGTCGGTGATTCACCCTATACTGCAAATCTAAGTTGAAGCCAGCTCTACAAAATGGCGCTTACCGCTTCTCGAAAGACCTTATAATAAGAGAGTTATTCAAAATCAAACAGTGTGCACATTATTTTGGGACACCCTGTATATATTAGGTTGTCCCAAAAGTTCTTGCGCCGGATTTTCAAAAAATCATATCTTCCTTGCCACTCGATAGATTTTCTTGATTTTAATTTCATTTGAAAGAGAAAACCTTTCTATTTACAAGAGTACCTTTGTTGTTAAATGGCGTCAGAAAGTTCCAAAGCTAGATGCAATTGAATGAAATTATTCAAGATCGGCATTTTTCAAGCTGGATCACGAAAACTGTGCGTAAAAAATCTGATGCCCCACGTCATCGAGCGACTATATTGACTGGCACATCTAGGGGAGAACCTGCGCTTATTCCGCGCATCTCCTTAAATTCCACTAATCTGCCCTTCGAATTAAAACGATTAAAATTCCCGGTGCGGCTTGCATATGCAATGACCATAAATAAGGTGCAGGGACAATCCCTAAGAGTAGCAGGAATCGATCTAGAACACCCCTGTTTTTCGCACGGACAACTTTACGTAGCCTGCTCAAGAGTTGGATCGCCTAAAGATTTATATATCTACGCACCAGAAGGAATGACTAAAAACATCGTATACCAGAGCGCTTTGAATTAAAAGTGTAAAACGAAGTAAAGGTAAGCACAATAGTAACTCGAACTTTTCTTTTCAAAGCTTGTTCCATTTTCAAGAGATGTGCTACAACCTTTGAAGAAAAAAAAAGAAATCAGAATGCGTTACAGTTTTTAATTCCTTACCTCTACATTATGCACTTTTCTAGATAATTTCATTTGAACAAAACCGTTATGGAGTAAAATTTTGTCTCTACACTTTTTATGGTTTGCAAACAAACTCAAAGAAACACTACCGCTTTGCATGTCACACATATCTGCGAAGACAGCGAACCCTAAGTGATGTTATCCCGGGCAAGGCCGACAGCTAGTACTATGTAAGCGTTGTACACCGTGTGCTGGCTGCAGAGTGGTTTCAAGCTCAGTGTTCATAACTCAGCTCACCGATCGTCTTCGCCAAGATGGAACCAAAAAATGGTTGTTGTTTTAAACGTTCGAGGAATTGGACGGACAGTGACTCACCTGCCTTTCTTCACTAATGTGATTCAAGATGGTCAGAATAATACTATCTCGCAGCAGCAGGGGGCTACATTCACGCGTATGTACTCAACAGTTCAAGAATCAAACATCTGTGGGAAGAGCATTCTTGCATTCGAAGCGCTTTATTCTGTTAAGTGTATGCGTTCACTGCCCTCACTGTCTGTGATGTTACGATTACTATGCGAAGGTCATGGTTCAGCAGGAACTTTAGGTGGTACCCTATTTTCAGGTGTATAAGCCGCGGGATGGTCCTAGCTTACATGGACCAGCGTGAACACATCAAGGGATCTCGCAACCAAAGGACTCTACACCTTGCTGCGTATTGCCTGAAAGAATCGTGCAGCATAAGGATCGCTTCTCGAAACAGAATGAAGCGGCTGAGCAGCTCGTGGGAATATTTGAAAAAATGCGGCTTATACACCTGAAAATAGGGTGATTGTCGCAGGTCGTGATGCTCAGTAGTCTCATGCCGATCTATACTGCAGTTCGAATGCTTAAATATCCTGGTGCGAATTTTCACTGCATCTTCCAAAAATTATTCGTCTTTAGATTACGTTATCAATGAAGAAAGACAGCAAATACGTTTATCCCTTCCAAATCATCAGAAGCCTATTACATTTTCCATTTTCGACCTCTCCTAGGTATAAGGAATACATATGCATCGTTCAACTTCCTCTGAACTCTAGGCGCTTGTGACTTTTGACATAATCAATGTATTACACGTAGTTTCCCAATTCTAATTCCGCAGTGATATTTTCAAGATGCTTGGATGATTATTTTATGGCAATTTACAAGTTGATTGTAAAGATACGTCAAGCAACTATCATCTGCACCTTTGGTAAGTGGAAAAGTTTTTGAATGAAGTTTATGAATTTTCTCGTATAAGCTGTTCAAGGGTTGACCTGGTACATCGATAACTTTGTCTCATTTTTTATTCATTGTTTGTCATAATGTAGTAAAAATATTTGTTTGACTTAATTCTATTTTTCCAAACCTAAAAGTATCGATTACTCGACCCAAAAAAGTCAGAATCAACTTACTCCGATAGCCACTTCTCTTAGTGTGGCTTAAGATTACTCTTCTTTTTTCTATGAGTATAAAAACTCCCCGCCCCAATGACAGCTAGTAATAAACAAAGTATTAACACAAACATTGCTGCAACATACTTTCTCTTTGGGGAAGATAAGGTGAAGAAAATCTTACCTAGCCAAAACAATCCTTCGTTAGCTGCAGGTCCCTTTTGTTCTGCTAGTTTTTGCATTTTTTCTTTCTTAAGCAATGTTTGTTCTATTGCAAGTAACGCATTTCTCACATTCTTCTTGAGCTTGACATTCCTCAGTATTGGCATTGAAGCATCTGTGGAATCAGGTTCTGGGTTTCCTTTCTTATTTGAGTCTTTTGATTTTTCCGGCGGTTGGCGGCTTCTGATTACAGGAAGTACTTTTCTTGTTGTGACAGTTGCAGTTGTCTCCTTTGTCGAAAGAGACGTAGATTTTCTTTTCGCTTTTCTCGCGGTGGAAACTAAGCGGCGAGTTGTCTGGGCAGCAGTAATCTTCCCTTCACCTCCAGTAACCTTTATTAATGAATCTAGACCCTTGTTTTTGAAATTTCTATTATTCTTGACCACAAGGCCAGGTTCTGAATTAAAGGAAATTTTCAAATCGTATATTTCGTTATTATAATCAAAAACTCACTGTCTAGCTCGGGGTTATTGATCTCTCTGAGATTTTTCAAAAACGATAAATCTTTCACGGCGCGATTGTTGGTAACGATCAACCGTCCGTCGATTTTTTCCACTTGTTCAAGTTTGTCGATGTTCGTAGGTAATTCTCAAGTAAGAAATGAGTACAGTGACGCCGGTTCAACAAAAATTACGATACAAATGTATCTGCGTTGCCAGTTTTGTTACTACTGTCACGTACATGAGTTATTCATACGGAAGCGGCTTATCTATGGGGGGAACGGTCAGGAGTCACGGTGCGCGGATTTTTCGCGAAGCGATGCCGCAAGCGATGTCAGCAAAACAGAAGCCAGCACTCCTGGCGCAGTCTTACTTATGGCACGAGCCATGTATCTGCCCCCACCCCCCACCCCCTAGACTGGCGCCGTGCCACTTTAGCACTTGGCAGTTCGTGGGGTACAAAACTTAGACGCGACGTGCGCGGCGAAGCGGCGCGGCGCGCGGCGTGACTTCTGACATGGAGCCATCTATGGAAGGTTGCTCGTCCCCCATTTTTGAAAAGGTGTCTTAGTTAACACGTTTCGGACGCGAAATCGCGCGCGGTGAAAAAGAGGGCACTTTCAGCTGTTAGCCAACAAAGGGGCCTTAATTCGTAGACTGTGTGCTACATCTATAATCAGCATGTCAAATAAGATCCATACCCAAAGTTGTGAGCGAATTCAAAGTGTTTGAATTTTTTCGCCTGAGAAGGACTTCTGTGCTTTCTTGAAAGGTAGGAACAAGAACTCAGTTTCTAATTGTACCCAAAAGTATCTATGTTGTACACCATACACATCATTATCGAAAATGCGGTTTTTCTCTTTGAATTCGAAGCAAAGGAAAGTTGCGACGTCGCACGCGTCGTTCGCGTTGCCGCACTTCGTTGCACTGTATATCTTTTAAACAAATATCGGCGACACAGCCTTACAGAGTCATTTGAGAAGAAGGAGCTTAGGCCTTTGACTTGATAACCTTGGACAAAAAGAAAACCTCCTGTAAACGTTAGAAAGATCCTCCAAAGCAGCGTGACCATGTGCAGCATCGGTCCGAAACGTGTTAAGTGGTCAGATGTATCCTCAGTCATTTGTCATTTATCTCACATTGGAATAAATGTAATTGAAATTGTATACTACAGTTCTTCAAAAGTACGGTGGGCACGGATTTCCACCACTCTCTGAGCTCTACTTTCTAAGTATCGAATTTAGCTTTTTTACTAGGATTTTATCTTGAAATCGATATTTCTCAGAAAGTGGAGCTTGTAGAAGGCTGGAATTCTGGGATTGTACTTCTAAGAACTGGTGATATATATTTACTTACGTAAAAACACAGAAACGCCTTTTTAAGGGCTTGAAAATTACACTTTTGCCGTTTGCAGCACAGAAACAAATACAGCAACGGCCTATAGAATTCTTTATGCGAAGTGTATGTGCGTGAGCTATTTGGGATCTGGTAAGTTTCCTTTGAACATATAATAAATTTCTAATTTATAACATTGACTATTCCTCAGATTTCGGCTTCACAATCGTGATGTGCTGAAGCTGGTGCAAACAACTACACGCCATCTTATAGAGCTTGCTTTGCGCCTCTTGATAAGTCTTCAATCAAAACAAATAGACAAGAAAACAAAGAGAAATCAGTGGAAATGAGCAGCTTCTAATTTTAGTGCTTGTCAAGCAGTACAGTGTGCAATACGCTTGAGTTACAAACGACCCTACGATAATGAGGTTACATAGGCTAGTCCTTCTAGTCCTCCGTAACATATAGTAATTGTCCCAAAATTTTTGTGACTTCTCTTTGAAGGTTCATTTTTGCTAATTTGACACTTCATTCAATTTAAAAAAAATTAAAAGGATATCTTCTAGCAGGTTTTTTGAAAAATACTAAAGAGAGGAGGAAAAACGTCAAAGTTTCTATCAAAACTGAGTTGAGTCGCTCGCCACCAATCCGAAAGGGGATCTCCAGGAGTTTGGATTCAAGGTCTACTCTTGAAAGAAGATTTGATTGATCTTGCTTATCAAACTTTCTCCACAGTTATTATCGAGGAACATTCAGGATGAAAAATTACCTATATATCTTTTTTGTTTGGAAATTAATAACTTCAAGTCGCATTACCAGTCTTTTAGGGTCTACGAATCTCATTGGCCCGCGCGGCTCGAATTGGTTGAAGCTTAAGTGTTATTATCTTTCGCATATAAACTTTGATTCAACTGGCTTGGCTTCGGAAAGGCGGGGTTTTGTGACGTAATTAAGACCGGTCGCGCCCGCGACGCACCTGCGTCTCTCTCGCGCGGGTGCTCTCCGATTAGTAGCTAGCCTTGATTAGGTCACGGAGCCCCGCCTTCCCGAAGCCAAACCAGTTGGATCAAATGGGATGCTATGTTCTCTGTACACGCTGCATAGAAAAAACCAAATTTCGTTACTAAACCTTTTCTTGGCAAGGAAAAGGAGGATAATCGAAGTGCCTTTTTGATATGAGATGAATACTGTCTTAAAGGGTATGAAATGCTCATTCCAAAGATCCCAAATCTACCCTCCTTATCTGCTGCGTTTCTGAGCGCTGAGTTACAAAGGCTTTGAAGAGCAAAAATTTGAATGTGCAGCTAGGATAAAAGCAGTTGTTCGAATACTTCATAAGGGGGAAATTTTGTCTTCCAATATCTACCTTCCACTCCAGCTTCAAAATGCGATCACTTCATTTGGTTTTTTTCTCATAAAATGTGCTCTAACGATACCCATATACGGAAAGCAATTTTATGCCAAAAGTCCTCACAATCCCGCTTTAATCGAAGGGAAACCTATCTGCGGATTAATTTTTGCCAACTCTAGTAGAAGTGAGTAATATTTGACAAAACTGAAATGTTTCTGATGACGCAATTCTGCGACTGCGCAGACTGCGGCGTCTACAGCAAATCAGTGTTAGGAATGATGTCGAGACGGTAGTCCTATTTAGAGGAATGACTTAAAATCATCTGCTTAACAGACATGTTTTGATGGCGCTGCTCAAATCAGAGAAAATTTTTGAGGTTTTGGTCGACATGGTAGCCTTTTGCACATACCAGCCGTAGTTTGAGAGCTCGTGACCCATTCAGTCTTGAAGGGATCTTCGTAGGATGAGCTGAGTGAACTTAATAAGGAAAACCACCCACATATGCACTTGATTCAACTGGCTTGGCGGCAGGAAGGCGGGGCTTTGTGACTTAGTTAAGGCCGCTCGGTCCGCGACTTAGTCTGCATCTCTCTCGCACGCGTACTCTCTGATTATTATTTAGCATTAGGCCAGGAAGCCCCAACTTCCAGTTTCCAAGCCAGCTGAGTGAAAGAGTACGAAAAAAGCGATCTATACTGACGTATTGGACTTCGCAGTAATTGAAAAGGTTAAGCGTCATTAGAACCTGATGATTTAGGTGCGATAAAAGCTATAGGAATGGTATTTACGGGGAACCCCTGTAGGCTCCCCTCCCCCCCCCCCCCCTCCCTCTTACATACCTAACAGCATTAGGAGGAATAAGGGAGCTGGGAAGTTATTTGACCGCATTTTTTCGAGCGAACTTTGCTTTGTAATTTGCGAAAGCATCAAATAATTAATATTTCATATGTGGGAAATATACACTAATCTTCAAATGATTAGTTAAGTAACTATAGTAATTAAGAGAAATGTCAGTTTAACGTACTGTAAAGTCCGCTAATGACTAGATTCCCCTTGACAACGTTGCAGCGTTTATCGAAGCTTTCAAGATAACTTCTCGACACCTTTCCTCCAGGACATGATAACACTAAAAATCAAACTTATATGACTTGCTTGTAGTGAGAAGCCGGCTAACAGCAGTCTTCAACAAATTTCACGCGAGCGTTCCATTTCCGCAAACGTGCTTCTAGTTGCTTCCTCTCCGCAATATTGTGACATATGCGAGGATTGTTGGAAATGCTTATGACTGGTGGGTACGAAGCAATGTCCATGGTCAGCAAGGCACTGATGTCGACAAGCTTTTCGTTGTCTTCTATGGTCAAAGCTGGTGCTGAAAGTTGTTAATGAATGAGAAGTTTGAGTGCCAATCATTATACCCTAACACGAATACAAAAGACGGGCCCTTTTCAATTTTTCAAGCAAGCCATTGAGCTCCGTCCTTGTGTTTTGGAAAACGAACCTTATGGTGCGCGATACTCTCAGGCAATACGCTGCAAGGTATAGGATCCTTTAGTCACGAAATCTTTTAGTGTCTTTGAGCTGGTTAAGTTTAGAAAAAAAAGGTGCATCATGTACTCGTGAAATTAGGTGATACCTATTTGGTTGTCCCAAAAGTAAATTTCTTTTTTAATTAATTCAGGCTAATTTTGTTTCCCCAGTAAACTTCGGGTATCGATTAATAGAGCAGATCAAGCTCTACAAAATGCCACCAAGGATCCGCCTAAGTTGCATTCCATTGAAAGTTTGAAGCCAAAATCAAAAAAAAAATTTTGTCGCCGAAACAGAAACTCTTCCCTATCAAGGCAAGTGGTATCCATTCTGCGTAGCAAGGCAGTACGGACTGAGATCGCCCCTCTCTTCCCTCCCCTTCCCCTGCCCCTCCTCCAGCCCCTTATTTTTCTTATCTGGCTGCTAGCCATCTTTTCTCTTCGGAAACACCAAGAGTGATCTTACAGGAGAACAGTTTCTAATGGAGAGGTCAAGACCACTGTAGAGGAGTACTCTGAATCCAAAGACTGATCCTTTCCTGGAAAGGGCTATTGGCGTAATGAAAGCAGTACTAAAAATGTGTTTTTTAAATGATTATACGTGTTGCTTTTGCAACGCTTTTGTTCGTTTTTCCTTGCTAGGCCAGGGACTTTCCAAACACCATGTCATAAAATCTCTTGTACTGATCCGACATGGAGGGAACAAATCATTTAAAAAACTTACATATATATGAAGTGATTTTTAGGTCTCTGAGAGAGTCCAGATCTCTTAGCTTTGTGTTTGTAATAAGTACGCGCCCATCAACTTTTTCAATTCGTTTCCAAACTTTAGAGTCTAACTCATCATACCGAACATCTCCAATCACTGTTCTGCAATAACTGTTCTTCGCAGAACTTGCGAGGCAGTCTGAAAAATGGGGTTGACTCCAAGAATATTCAAACTCAAGTGATAGAACCAGCTTTTATAAAAATTTCTGCGGAGCACTTTTGTTTTGAAAACCCTTATATCCGAATATTGCCACATCAGGCTTTTGAATGCATATACGTCCTGACATGTCGTGCGAAATAAGTAAAAACTAAAAGCGAAATTGCGATGAACTGCTTACATAAACTAACACATGTCTCCCCCTAAAATTCTCTACCGAAGACGATGAGGCCGAAGTTTGTGCCTCCCCCCCCCCCCTCCCCCATGAGCAAATACCGCCGTTTTCGTGACAATAGCGCTTTTTCCAATTTTATTGAATATCATTAACTAATGAACGCGACATCATAAAGGACATTAAATTGCAACACCTCTCAGATGGCAAAAACCTTCTTTATTGAAATAATGGCCATAGAAAAGCCCAGCGCAAGCAAATGACCAGCGAACCTTAACTGATAAGTGAACCTTTATGTTATGCACACTAAACCTTTCTGTGCTGAATTTTGTGTAGTCGGATTAGAGGATCAAATTGAGAAAACTTTAGCGATGCTTACAAAAAAGTGTTTTTTTTACCAGAGGAAGTTTTGGGTGGATTGTCAGAGTTAGAATAATGGTCTTTTTCAAAACAAGTTTGCGATGAAATTTTAACTACAATGACTAGTTATTTTATAGTTAGTCAATGTTTCCTTGTCAGAAATAGAAGTCAAATCCAGCTACCCTTTGAAGATGAGAAACCCTTTATATTGCTCTTTTTTGCTTCTTGGCGTCTAATGCATAGTTTTTCACACAAGCGACGATTCGTTCAGATCGAAGGGAGTCTTGCCCGTTCTTCTATAGATTTTTTTTACACAAATGGACTCATCGCTCACCTCTTGCATCTCCAAGGTCAAAGCGAAAACTTGCTCCTTTGACATAGACAGCCTTTAACTTTGGGTTCAACTTTATAAAAGCTTCCTGAAAACCAGCAGTCTTTCGGTGTTCAACCAACATACTGCAACTTACATAAGTTCCAAGATGCAGTTGTTCGTTAAATTGTATTTCAGCCAAGTTCGGGTTTCCTTGTATTATTAAGCGGCGTCTATCTCCTGTAAATGTGAACATAGTTTATCAAATTTTTTTTAAACTCTCATGTCGTGCATATTACGCGCCTTCATACTATGAATAGAAAGCTTAGACTTCCCTTTTGAGCCAGACTGAGCGTGAGCACCGCTGATTTTTACGACATTCTTGAGAAAATGTAGTTTTCTGAGTGCTTCGTTGTTAGTGACGAACACGCGACCGTCGATCTTCTCCACTTGTTCCAGTTTTACAATGCTGTCCGGAATCTCTATAATTTTTCAAATGGAGGATTTAGCAAGGACTGGATGCCGACAGTGTTGATTGTATAATTCAGAATTCTTTTGTGGAACGACCGCTTTCTTGCATATGAGACTTTTTCATAAATGTACACATTGCTTTAACGTAGGTTCGCTTTCGTTGGCTAATTCTACAATTGGCGTATGCGGCTCAGCACTGTGGCATTCGTGAATATCCGCCTGTCAAATTTTATTTGAAAAAAAAAATGAGATCTTCGAATATTTCACATAATGATGTTTAAATTTTCCAATTTCGCGTTGCTTTTCAAATTTACTATGCATTGTTGGTATATGGCTGCTGCATATTTGATTTATGGCTAGCGGATAGACTTTAAAGACAGCGTCCACGCAGATCTGGACCTGTGGGGCTTTTACGTGGAAAGTGCTTTTGGGACCCTAACTAAGGCACTGCCCAAGCGGCAGCTCAGGTGCTCTAATGGCTAAGATATTTCCCTCGAAACTGGCCCCCGCGAACGTATTCGCATGGATTCATGGCAGTTTCGAGCCAGGATCCACGCTTTGCGCCATGAATCCATGCGAAACACGGTCGCGGGGTCCAGTTTCGAGGGGAATATCTCAGGCGTTAGGGCACTACCTGAGCTGCCGGTTGGGCAGTGGCTTAGTTAGGGCCCCAAAAGTACTTTCCACGTAAAATACCCATAGGTCCAGACTTGCCTGGACGCTGCCTTTAAAATAACGACAGGCAGAATTTTTGAAAATTTTATTATTGAATAATATAAGAAATAAAACTTCTTGAGTATTCGACCTTTGATATTACCAGAATCTGATGTGAGAAATCTAAACATTCTCGATTCAAAGAATTTATTGTGCTCTGGCAGTCAAAAGTTAATGTAGTGCTTGCAAGTTTGTACCAAAATTTTTCTTTAGGCTCATTTCTATATCGACATTCTTTTGCTTACTTTACGAGCATACCTTCGATAGTCTAGAGACGGTCGTCAATAACGAAAATTGTTTGAACATCTGCCCCTCATAAAAAGTGAGAGTGTTTATAGAAGACTGAAGAAGAAAAAAGAGCAAAACAGATATCAAAAGCAAAAGAAACTGCTAAAAACCGGATAGAAACGCTGCAAGTCTTTGAAATCTCTCACTTGGCGGCTTTTCAGACTGCAATTCGCTCCAGGACCAGCAAAGCAACACCGGGAAAAACGAGGAAAAGCTGATTTCTTTTTCGTAATATCAAGAAGAAGATAAACAATAAAGAAACTAGCTATGAAAACGTACAGTTTCTTTTTTATAAGTAGAAATGCACGTCAAAGCCATATCTAGTTTTTAATGCTTCCTTTAAATTTTCAACCCCGCGTTGACGTTCCTGTTTTTGAGACGTTGTCTAAATTGTTGCGCTTATCTGAGCAATAATCGCTCAAGCTGGAATGCTGAGAAACCACTGAAAGAGAACAAGGTAAAGAAAGACGCATTTTACAGATTTCGGGAAAAATCAACATGATCGAAGAAGTGAGCTCTGGGAGGTTGTCTACATTATCAAAGGAAGCAAGATCTATCAAATGCACGAAGAAAACGCGTGAAAAGAGATTGACTAAAGAGAAAACAAGAGATTTTCAAAAATACAGTTGTTCCCGGTTCTCTCGTTCAAATCAAAAAAATGAAATTTTGGAACGTTGTCAGCGTGAAGGCAGAGATCAAGAGGTTCAATATGATATGCGGCTTGCTAGAATTGGTTTCAGAACAACGAAGAAATCGGTAGCAGAGCCAAATGCCCATGCCCCGCGTTTGAGATAGCGAGACGGCGCGCAACTTGCGGAGACGCAGACAAGCAGAGGAGAAAGACAGAGCCGACGGGGCATTTGGCTCTGGCCGTAGATCTCCGCGGGATATAACGAAACGTTGCAAAATTATATATCATTCTGATCGTCATGACACAACTAGGAGCACTGACAACTTCCCAGCTGAAAATCACTTAGTAATGCGATAAACCAGCATATTCTAGCGCGACTTTCTGCGCAAGATTTAAGCGCAGTTTCTCATTTTTGCTGACAAAAACAGCTTTTCTGGACTTATTCCCAATATTTATTGCATCCATATTCATTTGGAGTTGGTCATGAGTATAATATCCGGGGAGTCGGACGACTTTTTTTAGGTGAAAGTTGTGTCCTTTTGTGACCCTCAAAATGAAGGTTACCTGAGTACAGCTCTATGTATTGAGGGTATGTTTACAAGACGCTATGTACAGCGCCGCTATGTCTGTTTTGAAAAAAGGGGCTTTCAGTTGCGAAAAGGAAATCTTGCAGATCCGATTTCCCTAGTTCATGGATTTATCTACTATCATTTGATTCAACTGGCTTGGCATCGGCAAAGGCGGGGCTTCATGACCTAATTAAGGCAGGTAATGATCAGAGAGCACTCGTGCGAGAGAGACGCAGGTGCGTCGCGGGCGCGAGCGGCCTCAATTATGGTCGTTTCATAAGTTCGTCGACTTTTTATTTTTGTCGCCGTTTTTCGATGAAGCGGTTGGTTTACGACAAAGTACCTTACCATTGAAAAGAGAAAATCTTGCTCTACAAGAACGTTGTTCGTTTTTGGAGCAAATTTGAATCCCCTTCTTGTACGACTTATCAAAGCAAAATTTTTTGAGAGGCAAAAATTGGCGATTGCGGCAAATGCAACTTTCGATCCGTATACGGAGCCACAAGTGGGAATTTTTCGTCTGATGTTGTTATGAGTGATGAGAAACAACTGTTTGTGGTACTACGGTGCATATAAAAGTAGTCTCCATATCCAAAGAGAGGCTATAAAGAAAGATTAAGCGCATGTTTACCACATGTGTAGATGTTTTGTGTTTGGCACAATTTGAAGAAGTTCTCACGTCAAAATTTTTTTTGAGAAAGCGTAAAATGTTGGTCAGAGCTTGTACTCATAAATCTACACTACTTAGAAGAACGCATCCATTCCTCAAGTTCCGATAGGAGGACCGACACATTGTGTCGCTGAACAACGCGCCAAACTCAAGCGGCAGCATCAAAGACAACAACCATTGGGACCTTGTTCAAACGGTTCTATGCATATTGGCATGCTGCAAATTTGACAGTGTTTCAGTCTTGCTTGCTACTATCCATCCCGCCTACCTATCACAGAAACATCTTGCGGAATACGGACCAAATGCGGAAAGTGCAGTTGCCGAAATCGCCAATTTTTGCCTCTCAAAAAATTTTGCTTTGATAAGTCGTAAAAGAAGGGGATTCAAGTTTGCTCCAAAAACGAACAACACTTTTGTAGAGCAAGATTTTCTCTTTTCATTGGTATAGGTACTTTGCCGTAAACCAACCGCTTCATCGAAAAACGGCGACAAAAATAAAAAGTCTTTCTGCAACTTGCAGAATCGTAACATGTTTTCACTTTCTTATAGCATTCTTAGCATTTCCTAGAAGACTAATGTTTGGAATTTTATCATAATTGTCTTAGTCAATCAAAGCCGCGACAAAGCATTGCTTGACACACTCACCCAAACATATGGAAAGACTGCTATGCATGTAGAGGTTGTAAAGTCAAACTCTGAATAAATGCTCGTGGTTCTGTATACGCGTTGCCTATCAGCTTATCAGCCAATAAAGCTTCGTCCAAGTCCTTTGGAAGTCCAAACAAGTGGCGACCACGGCAACCGAGGACCTCCCACTTCTTCACTTCAGGACGAAAAAGTACTCTGAACAAGCCTTGATCCTATTAAGCATCGATGTCGACGAATGACAGTGCCCGCATAAGGCGTCAAATCGGCTTTTTTAAGAAACAAATCCAACGGCTTTTCTCAGCAGCGCAGCCCTCTCTCTCACAGAATACGATATCCTTATCACCACACCAAACTTGCAAAAACTTGATGATGATGAATTCGAATCTCTACGCCTCGATCACTTCCGCTCGCTCCAATCTACTTAAGTCCTACTCCAAACTCACAAAATTGCACAGTGAATGGACTCTCCTTCTACAATGGAATCCAGGCGAGCAACAAATTTTTGACGATTATCTCGAGAAATGTGGTGATTATCGTACCATCATTGATGAAGCCGTCAAACAACTAGAGAATATGGACACACTTTTGAACTCCATTGATCAGGAATATTCTCAACGACATCTCTCGGTCTCCTCCGCATCTTCTGAGACCAATACTCGAGGTGAAGACCGTACTCAACCACCACGAAGCATTTTGATGACCAACACTCAAACACCGTCCGCGTCCCAGCCTTTCATGGTCAACTCTTCCACAGTCAATCCCGTCATAACTACTAGTCTCGCGACGAACACTTCTTTGATGAATTTTGTCGATGCGTCCATTTTGAGTAAGCTAGAGCTGCCCACATTTGACGGCAATCTTTTGGAATATCCAGAATTTGCGTCAAGATTTGCCACACTCGTCGGAGACAAAACCCAGCTATATGATACCACGAAATTTTCACTCCTCAAGTCATGTTTGCGCGGTTGCGCTTTACAAACCATTCAAGGCTTATCTATGACTCCAGAGAACTATAGAATAGCAATGGACATTTTGAAAACACACTTTGACGACAAGGTCACAATGAAACATATCCTCTACACGAAGCTTGTCCAACTCCCAAATTGCGATCCCGAAGGCCGAATCCTCCTAACACTCTACAATCGTATGTTTGCGCTGATACGACAATTTTCCGTCAAAAATGATGATTCTCAAGAAATAGCACTTGGTGCCATACTACTGAACAAATTACCAGCCCGCGTTCGAAGCAGAATCTACGACAAAACAGCGAATGATCACAACCTTTCCCCAACCGAACTTCTCCATCTACTCACCGACATCGTACGTAAGGATACCGTCCTATACGAGATGAACTTCCATAGCAAAACGTCCAACACGGAACAAACAAACCCCGTACGTCAGCTTCAACGCCACTTCTATATACCAGAAAAACACAAAAAGATCTTGCACACAACAGCTCAGACAATCGCTGGGGGCAGGCGGGCACCGGAA